CATCATGTTGTATAGTATTAATTTGTTTTTCATAATGTTGAGTAATTTCTGTATTATTCCTATTTAGCGAATTTGTATTATTAGTTTGATCTTGAGTAAAACATGTGGTCCATTCTACAGATAGATTATGATTAATTTGATTCCCATCGTTTTGAGCAATGCCTGCTGGTAATTCTATAACCGAATGATTATTAATATTTAGCAAATTTGTATTAGTTTGATATGGAGTAAAGCCTGCATTCCATTCCATAAACGGATTATTATTAGTAAAATCCATAGTCCATTCTGTAGAAAGATTATTATTAGTTTGATTTTTACTAAAGCCTGCGAACCATTCTACGGGTGGATTATTATAAATGTTTTGTAAACTTTTATTAATTTGATCTTGAGTAAAGTTTGTAGACAATTCTATAGGTAGATTATCATTAATTTGATCTTGATTAAATCCTCTAGGCCATTCTATGGATGGATTATTATAAACACTTGGCAAACTTATATTAGTTTGATCTTGGGTAAAGTCTATAGACCATTCTGTAGATAGATTATTATTGTCCTCATAGTCTTGAGTAAATCCGGCGGACCATTCTATAGACGGATTATTATATGTGTTTAGCATACTTATATTAACTTGATTTTGAGTAAAGCCTACAGTCCATTCCATAGATTGACTATTATTAACGTTTGGCGAGCTTTCTTCATTATACATTATGCAGTTAGTTATTAATAAAATTAAAAATACGTTTCTTGACTGAATAAATGGTTTTCGAATTTGGTTAATTTATATAAAATTTTTAATTCAAAATAGAATGTTCGAGTTCGTGTAGATCATTCCATATTTAAGCACTATAGTTATAGAATATTCGAATTTGTGTAGATCAATCCCTAATGGTTTGAAAAATATTTCCGCCAGGAGGCACCAAATGTTACAGTACCGTGGCCTACATGTTCGAGAATTCTGTATTGAAGCTTCCGGTGGATTTCTTCACTTTCTAAAGTAACGG